ATCCCACCGCATCGTCAACGTCTCTCTCCTCTGCTCCAGAGCAGAGTCTCGGCCGCCTGGCTTCACTGCTCCCAAATCGCGCATTTAAAAAAAAAAAAAAAAAAAAAAAATTGGGCCAGGGAAGAAGAACAATGTTTTCCCAGCTTCTCGTCCATGATTAAAACTACATATTTTGTTTGATGGGTATTCCCAGCTGCATGTCACTGTCTCTTTTATTGGGTTTCCTCCTAATGCAAAAGTAAAAACCACGGAGTGTAGAATGTTTAATTTTACACTCAGTTATGGAATTATTGGGGGGGGGAAGGAAATTAAAATCAATCTTAATTCTGTCTCCCAGAGGCAACCATTGTTAACATTTTGGTATATATCTTTCTGTACTTTATGCATACGTATGTATGTATATATGCACATATATGTATATATACGTGTATGTATACATACGTATGTGACATATTAATGAAAAATGGGAATAATCTATATGTCCAGCAAAAAGGGATTGTTTAAAGACTTTAAGCTACAACCATAGTGGGGAATGCTATGCAGCTGTTAAAGGTCTGTTATAGAAAACTACCCAGGGTTATAGAAAGATGCTCATAATCTGTTGTGAACCAATATCTCAATAAAACAATTTAGTATGATCTCACTTAAACACATGTTTTCATAAGAGTGAGTTATAACACTGGGTAGTCTTCTATAACAGAATTGTAACAGCTGCACAGCATTCCCCACTATGGTTGTAGCTTAAAACACTTAACCAATCCCTTTTTGCTGGACATACAGGCTATTCCAAGTTTTCATTAATAGAATCGATACCGTGGTGGACTTTGGAGCAGCTGAATCTTAGCTCATATCCACAATTCTTTACTTAGGACAAATCCATAAAAGCGAAATGTGGGGGGACCTGGGATATGTATTTTTTTTGTTGTTCTTTTGGTCAAGATTGCCACACTGTCCCCGGAAAGGTCGTCCCACGTACTTAAACTCTAACTTAATGGGTTAAGAAAGCCTCTGTTAAGTTATTGTTCAACCTGGAGAAGTGTAAACAATGGATTTCCTAGGAGCTTGGCCTCCTCTGGGGCAATAAGAGAATGATTACCTTTAGTCAATGAAGGATTTGGGGGGGGGGGGACGGTTCCTGGGGGAGAGAGCCCTCAGCTTGGAGACAGGTGTTCATGTGACACCCATGAGCCTTTAGGGTGGTATGAAACTCAAGGTTCATATTTTATTTTCTGGCCCTCCAAGCAATCACTAACTTTGGTAGGATGGAAACTCCTGGCTGCAGTGTGACAATGAAATGGATGGTCTCGTTTTGGGCTTTAAAAGGAAAACACAGGGGCGCCTGGGTGGCGCGGTCGGTTAAGCGGCCGACTTCGGCCCAGGTCACGATCTCGCGGTCCGGGAGTTCGAGCCCCGCGTCGGGCTCTGGGCTGACGGCTCGGAGCCTGGAGCCTGTTTCCGATTCTGTGTCTCCCTCTCTCTGCCCCTCCCCCGTTCATGCTCTGTCTCTCTCTGTCTCAAAAATAAATAAACGCTAAAAATAAATAAATAAATAAATAAATAAATAAATAAATAAAAGGAAAACATATAATCCCCAACAGGAGCTGGAGGGAGTAGCACCATATGTGTCCTCCCCAAAACCACGGACACAGGAGTGGAGAACGATGTTTAGTAGCTAAAAGGAAAGACAGGCGGATCGGCTTGAAGGAACAATATTCTTCTTTTTCCTGGTCCCGTGGGTCGGCCGAGCATTTCTTCCTCGGGTTCTGCCGGGACTCAGTCATGCTGACACCAATCAGCGGGAGGTCCTGCCGGGCTGGAAAGTCCCCGCTGACCTCGCTCACCCTGGGTGTCCGCTAGGTGCCTCAGGGCCTCTCCGAGGGGCTCCTGACCCTCTGGAAGGTTGGACCGGCTTCCTTGCGTGGCAGTCTCGGGGCCGTGTTCCAAGAGAACCAAGGCAGAAACTGCAAGCCCCTTCAGGCCCAGGCTCCACTCCCCCGGCCTCAAGTTTTTCAAAAATTTATTTTTATTGCTTTTTAAAAAAAAACATTTTCTTTTTCTAAAGTTTATTTACCTATTTCTTTATTTTGAGAAAGAGAGAGAGCGAGAGAGCCCAAGCAGGCTCTGAGCTGTCAGCCTGACATGGGCCTCGAACCCACGAACCATGAGATCGTGACCTGAGCCAAAATCGAGAGCTGGACGCTTAACCAACTGAGCCACCCAGGAGTCCCCCCCAATTTATTTTTATTGTGATAAAATTTATAAGCATGAAAGTTACCACTTGAATCATTTTTAAGGGTATAGTTCGGTGACCAGTAGGTACATTCGAGTGGCCCTGTCGCCATCACCACCATCCATCTCCAGAACTTTTCCACCTTCCCCAAAGGAAACTGTACCCATAAAACACTACCGCCCCCTTTTTCCTTCCCCCCTAGTTCCTGGCAGCTGCTATTCCACGTCCGCCTCCGGGAATTTGACTACTCTGGTATCCCATAGAAGGGGAAACGTTTGCCTGTTTGTGACGGACTTATTTCATTTAGTATAAGGCCTTTAAGGTTCATCCCTTTTGTAGCAGGTGTGAGAATGTCCCTCCCTTTTATTAAGGCTGAATAATATTCCATTGAATGATCAGACCACATTTCGCTCATCCATTCAGCTGTCCGAGGACCCTTGGGCCGTTTCCACCTCTGGGCTGTTGTGAATAATTCAGCCTCTCTTTGGCCACATCGTGTAGGTTTAAGCGAGCCCGAGACCAGCCCAGAAACAAACCCTACGGGAAAGGGAGGAGAGGACCTGAGTCCTAAGCCTCCCTGACCCCGAAAGAAGGAGCCGCCATATCACCCACTGGAGGTTAATTCCAGACCCTCCCTGTGCTTACATTTTTAATAGTAAAATAAAAATCACCATCTCTATCTTGCCATGAATAGATGAACTCATGTTTGTGAAAGTCATTAAAAGAAAAAAAAAAAAAAACAGAAAGAAAAAGAAAAATACGATTATGTGTTGCTCCTTCCTCCTTCCCCGGGTGATGTCTTTCAAGTAGCCACATGCTCCCTTCTGGTGTCCAATTCTCCGTTCCTTCCCATCTGCGCTCACTGACAATGGGCTTGTCTTTGCTTCGTCCGATTTCTGTCTGAAGTACAGCCAGGTGCCCCCAAAGATGAAAGAGCTAAGTTGACCAGGAGGCTTCCTGGTACATTTCGATTTCAAAGTAGGCTGCGGGTTCTTGATGCATGTTAAGTGGTGACGCAGTCTGCAGCCCAGCGGCCCAGCTGCCCCTGTTTCCTTGCAAGTTACCGTCTCTTTTCCTGATCCCCTGTGAAGAGTGAGTGAACGGAGGCCCACAGAGGGCTGTTCGGAGCAGACTGAAGGCCATTGCCTTGGCACAGATCCTCGATTATAAAGCAGGAGGAGACGTCGTCCCCCAAAGCCTCAGTTTCTTCATCCGTAGATGGATGGGGTGACGCAGAGCCAGGATTCGGGTGAGGCTGAATCACAGCAGGGCCGTCTGCACATATCGACAGTTTGTTCGCCACGGATTTCTTTTTGCATTTGCTGTTTATTTATTTATTTATTTATTTATTTTTATTTTTTGCATTTGCTGTTTAAAAACTGCACGAAAATATTCTTTTTCTTGGGGCAGCCGGGTGGTTCAGTCGGTGAGGCCTCCAGCTCTTGGCATCAGCTCCAGTCGTGATCTCATGGTTCCTGAGATCGAGCCCCGCCTCGGGCTCTGCCTTCACAGCGTGGAGCCTGCTTGGGATCCTCTCTCTCTCTGCCCCTCCCCCCGCCTTCAAAATAAATAGATAAATAAACATCGAAAAATATTTTCTTGATTATTGAGTGCTTTGGCACCTCCTTCAATCTCGTATCTGCAGCGAGGGTCTCACTGGCTTCAGTCTGGTCCCACGGGCGCCCCGCAGGGGTTAAATGAGGTGACGCACAGGATCGCCAGCCCCTGACGCTGTGAGCTGTGGTTATAGCCACCGTGTTAACCTTGTCTGTTTCGCCGCCCGGACAAGGAAACTATGGCGGAGAGAGGTCAGACCACCTGCCCAGGGCTACCCAGCGGTTCAACACAGGTCTGTGTGACTGCGAAGCAACCCTTCTCATCCACCCTCCTCCATGCAGACGGAGTCATGGTGGCGGGGGATGCGCATTGGGAGGGCAGGAACGAGTGTTTTTTTCTCAGCCTAGACAGTGTTTCTCATTTCATGTTGCTGTCCCCAGAAACGGATTGTGTCCAGAAATGAGCTGGGGTGTCCCTCCCTAGGACCCCTCCCTCCCAAACTCGGGGCAGGCGGGACTGTCCACGGTTCCCTTTCACAGGGTCAGATCACAGCAGCTGTCACCCTCTGTCCCCCACACCAGGCCGGGATGGGGACCCCTCCCTCGCCGGCACCCGACCCATCTTGCTCATGCTCTGTCCCTGTGGCTCAAGGCAGAGCCCGGCACAAAGCAGGCGGTCCAAGCATGCTGGCAGAACGGAAACACACGGGCACAGGGACTGGAGAAGGAAGAGGGCGTACATTCAAGCCCAGCGGTCCGTCCTGAGTACAGGCTTCTCTTCTGCACACCAGGGTCGGTCACAACACCCACATCACAGTCTCTGTACAGATTAAACAAGTAGAACACCAAACCCAATGTCTGGCACATAGCAAAAGCTCAATACGTAATAACTTGGGTTGTTTTTTTTTTTTTTTTTTTTTTTTACATCCTAGAACCACAAAGATACAGCCAAGGGCTTCTCAAAAGCAGCACTCTTGGTGCGCCCGGGGCGGGGGGGGGGGCTCAGTGGGTTAAGCGTCTGACTCTTGGTTTGGGGCTCAGGTCGCGATCTCACGGTTTGTGAGTTCGAGCCCTACGTCGGGCTCTGCACGGACAGTGTGGAGCCTGCTGGATTCTCTCTCTCCCTCCCTCTCTCTCTCTCTGCCCCTCTCCCGCTCGCTGTCTGTCTCTCTAAAAATAAATCAATAAACTTAAAAAATTAAAAAAAGTTTTTCTTCTGGGCCGCCAACATGCCATCCAGACTGAGAAAGACCCGGAAGCTTCGGGGCCACGTGAGCCGTGGCCACGGCCGCATTGGCAAGCACCGGAAGCACCCAGGAGGCCGGGGTAATGCTGGTGGCATGCATCACCACAGGATCAACTTTGACAAATATCATCCAGGTTACTTTGGAAAAGTTGGTATGAGGCATTACCACTTAAAAGGGAACCAGAGCTTCTGCCCAACTGTTAACCTTGATAAACTGTGGACCTTGGTCAGTGAGCAGACACGGGTAAATGCTGCCAAAAACAAGACTGGAGCTGCTCCTATCATTGATGTGGTGCGATCGGGCTACTACAAAGTATTGGGAAAGGGAAAGCTCCCCAAACAGCCTGTCACCGTGAAGGCCAAATTCTTCAGTAGAAGAGCTGAGGAGAAGATTAAGGGTGTGGGGGGAGCCTGTGTCCTGGTAGCCTGAAGCCACATGGAGAGAGGTTCATTAAATACTAACAACTGCTTTTCTCTTCTGGTCTGGGTGTAAGTTCTTTAGCACCCCTACCTCTCTTACCTGTACATTTGAAAGCCACATAACAGATCCAGGAGTAAGGGTATGAGGGCCTGAGCTCCTTTGCCAACTCAGAAAATGTGCAAGAGATAGCACCAGTACTTAAAAGGACTTGGCCCATTACCTACCTTGAACATTTATAAAGTTGATAGCATATTTGTGTATCTTAGAGTTGAAAGGCCTGTTTTGCATTGTATACTCTGAAAATACAGTGAGTGGGAAAATAAAAAAAAAAAAAAAAAAAAAAAAGCAGCACTCTTGACATTTTGGGCTGGATGGTCCCTTGTCCTCGGGGCTGCCCAGGACACTGCAGGGTGTTTAGCAGGATCCCTGGCCTCCACCTTCTAGATAATAATAGCAAGTCCTCAGGTATGAAAAACAAACAAATATCTCCAGACCTTATCAAATGCCCCCCCTCCAAGGGATAGAATTATCCCAGGTTGAGATCACTCATGTGGCCTCTTGACACAGATTATTTTAAATTTTTTTAATGTTTCTTTATTTTTGAGAGAGAGAGAGAGAGAGAGAGACATAATGTGAGTAGGGGAGGGAGAGAGAGAGAGAGAGAGAGAGAGAGAGATTGAGGGAGACACAGAATCCAAAGCAGGCTCCAGGCTCTGAGCCGTCAGCACAGAGCCCGACGCGGGGCTCGAACTCACGAACCGCGAGATCATGACCTGAGCCGAAGCTGGACGCTTAACCGACTGAGCCACCCAGGTGCCCCTTGACACAATTATCTTAAAGAGAAAAATGGATGAGTCTTAAGATGTTCTAATTCTCTCAGTACTCCGTGACATAAATGAATTCACCTTGGGTGGGCAAATGTTAAAATGATAAGAAAAATAGTGAGGACAACATTCTGATGGCAGATGACGGTCACTGAGGGCTCCCTGGGGTTCCAGCGTGTGCTTTCAGCTGCCCATGCATCACCTCTCACCCTGACGGCGGCCCTGGAGGGTAGCTGTTGATTACACATTCCAGATGGGGAAACTGAGGCTCCGAGAGCATCAGACGACTGGCCCAGCACCACACACCCCTGAGCGGCAGGTCTGGAAATGCCAGGGAGGTGGGCGTGGCTCCCAAATGCGTGTCTTTCCACAACTCCTTTTCTGTGTCTTTCCAGAATCTTTCTAACTACTAGCTGGCAATTCCAGTTTCTAGTTGAATAATGTCCATCTGAATGTATAAGTCTCTACCTCTCAGCCGCCCTCCCCCAACCAAATGTTGAAGAGTGAAACTATCTGAGAAAATGAGCAGAATTTCTAAAAACTAACATCCAAATGTCTGGAAGGCTCTTGCATGGGTGATCAAATTAAGAGAAAGTATGCTTAAACAGAAAGTACCCCTGCCAAATTGAATTCTCGTTCGTCGTGTTGTTTTTGGACGGAGAACAGAACCCCCCGTGTATGGTTAGAGCCGAGATGATTCTACCCCCAACAGCCCAAGAGCAGCACACAGGCTCTCCGGGGGCCACAGGACCCTTCCTCCGCCTTTCATTTCCAAAGCTCCCTTAGGAAAATATCTCCACTGGTGCCATCTGGCCTCTCCACGTTCCAGAACCTACCAGTCAAGATGAAGAGGGCCTGAAGACACCAAGAGTCTTATCACTGCTCCTTATACGGTCCCTGGGACACCGGCAACACCTGGGAGCTTGTTAGAAGTGCAGATTCGCAGGCCCAACCCCAGGCCCGCGGAACCAGAACCTCTGCAGGTGGGGCCCAGAAAACTGTGTTTTCACAAGTCCTCCAGGAGATCCTGACGCTGCTGGTCTCGTCCCACGAGGCCTTCCGCCCTTTCCTCAGACGGGCTTCACTTGGAAGGAAAGAGCTCTCCAGATTTTGGCCCAGATAAGGAACGTGGGATCTGAGAAGGGGGGAAGGAGTCATCTGAATCTCGGATGCAGACGCATTTAGAAAGAAAACGATGGAACAGAAAGCACGAGGAGCAGAAGCTCCCGGGGGGCCCGCGTCGGGACGCGATGCCTCAGCAGTGCCACCGTCCAGGAAGCCGAGCAACGGACAGAGCCTCAGAACTGAAAGGGACCAACGTCTCCTCTGCCTCCAGTCCCGCCCACAGAGCTGTCAAAGAGCCCTACTGCACAGAAAATACTTGGCGTGGCGTGGGACACTCAGCTGGCAATGAGCGAAGTTTGGGGATCTGATGTCTTGCACTGGAAGAGAAATCATTACCTTGCCTCCCACCATTTCAAACCCTCCTGACCATCACTAGGGCATGCCTCTTCTTACATTACAGACTCCTTTGCTATTCGCAGGCTGACCCCACACCCCGATCGCCACCTCTGTTGAGCCTCAGAGCAGCCTCAACCTAGACGTTAAGAAGCCACAACCCATTTTCTAGAAGAAAAACTCAGGGCTTTTACTCGAGCCCTTACGGGCAACGATATTTGGTAATCATCACCCAACTTGCCCTAAGATTTAGCCAGCATCTTGGTCAGGGAGCGCTCCTTTGTCACGGACCGTTTATTACAGTGGTTCTCTACAATTGAACCTGACTTTGAGATATCTTTTTCCACCTTTCCTACATGTGGTGGGCGTGCGCTTTTCAGAGCCTATTCACTGGAGCCCAGAGCAACAAGCATTGGGATACGGGGAAACACCCAAGGTCAGAAGTGCGTGCAAGCCACAGAGGACGCTTAGTAGTCGGGAAGCCCCTTGAGAAACGCCTTATGGTGAGAGGGAAGAGGGACAGTAACAGGAAGGACAGGATGACAAGAAGGCCAACAACAAAACAGTTGAGTGGCAAGAAGGAGGCTGGGTCCCGGGGCCGACTTACGGACAAGTGACACATGTTTCTGCTTTAAGTGATCGGTTTTTACTTTTAACGTTGAAGATTAAAATTAAGTGCATTACCATAGATCGCTTCACAGGGATTTGGTACATCTGTTTTGGAAATGTAAAACAAAACTGAGTAACATCATTATGTGCATTACCAGAATTGGAGAAAGGTATCAGTAACAACAGCCCCGCCCGCCTCTGCCCTGGCTCCACGTTTCAGCATCTCTCACACTTGGTGGGGAAGACGTTGGGGCCAGGGGTGGAAGAAGAGACCGCGCTCCAGAACCGCAATGAGGCTCTGAGACACGATCCCGATCCCCTAGGTGGCCAGGTAGCAAAAGCCAGCCCCCTCCCGGGAAGAGCCCCACCCCGCACCCGGCCTGACCCCCTTGGACAACGTGCTTGCCCCGAGTTTCACACTGACCCCCCCCCCCCCGCCCCGATCCAGCCTGAAGGAAGGAGACTGGCCAGTTTGATTATTGCTTCAATGACGAGCGAATGATTTCTGGTTTGCTATTTACACTGCTCTCTGGGAGAGAAAACAAGCCTTCCAACTGAAGTACTCCAATTTCTACTATTTATCCAAGATTACACATATAATCCCATAATAAAACACCGTTCCTGCCCAGAAAGCAGCGTGATTGCCTACAGATGTGCCCAAACTAAAACATCTGCACGTCCAAAGCGGCCACCGGCGTGACCCTTTATCTACTCTGGATTGATGACCAAAATGGCGAATTAACTTCTGGAGCTTTCCGGGTGGAAAGCCCATAGAGGGAAGGGAGAAAGGCAGGCCGGGGACATGCATCTGGACGCGCTACCCAAGCTAGAAGTCCGCGCTGTGCGTGATTTCAAGTAACACCTTGTGGGCTGATGAAGTTTGGCCCCAACCGCATGCCGTCACTGACACAGGAAAATAAAATGCTTTCCTAATGGTGCCTGGCACAGCGTCAGGAAAATACCTCATCTGAATTTTTATTCAACTGACAAATGATGTGCGTCCCTGCCTTTATCTGGCTGCTTATATTAAAGATCCGGGTGCAGCAGAGATTTCTTAATTTGCTCGTTTCTCTTGGTACCGTTTGGGGTGAGAGCTTGGAATGCACGCGCATCGCCAGGCGGGAGGGAGGTCTACCTGCTCAAATAGCACCCCCCCCCCCCCGATCATATCACATAATCATCTCGGCTCTACCTTGATTTGTCTCTCAATATACTGTTTAAAAGTGTAACCCAATCACCAAGCTCAACAAGCAGTCTGTTTATTATTACTTTTGATAGAAAGGTTCATAACATCCCGTAATGCGCGTGCATTTTTTATTCCGTTTGACTAGTAGACACTAAAACCATTTGGGACATTTATTAAAATGCACTCAGCCGCTCCTTAGGATGAGGTTAATGTGGGATTTATGCCTCTGTGGTGCACGGTGCGCAAAGCAGTAATAATGCTTGTTTAGTACTTGGTTCACGTATAAAATGATCGGCTATAAAAACTGAAGGAATACAAAGGTAGCTAAAAAAAAAAAAAAAGAGCAGAGAACCGGGAGTGATTTTCAGGTTGGGGGCTTAGCTAAGACGTCAGCCAAGGAGGAGAAATTTATTTTAATGGAAAATCTAATTCTCTGGTTGGGTGAAACAGGCTGGGGAGCGGGGGCTCCCAGAAGCCTGGTTCGATAGACCCGGGCTGTCACCTGCCAGGGGACTCTGTACCACCTTGCATAGACGGGGGACCCTTTCTGCAGAGCCACACTTCCTCTCCCTCTTTCCCTAATTCCTTTGACCCCAAAGGCCTGCGGCCTTCAGTTCGACCCAGGCCTGTGAGAGGGCCGGTCGGACGTCAGGGCTCGGGCCCCTCTGGGGTCCCAACCAGATGGGCCCGGCAAGAGGGAGGTGCAAATTCCAAGCAACTTCCTAACAGTTGGCCGGGTGTCCAGCCAGCAGGCAGAGAGCGCATGTTTCCGACACATGTTGGTGAGGTACTTGCTTCCAAGAGCAGGAGTGATCCAGAAAACCCCTGGAAACTGCCCAGCACCATCGCCGGGCAAACCTGTCCCTTCAGAGAGCCGCTTCCCGGCCGGCCAGCTGAAGACCAGTGCGCTGCTCCCCTGCAGGAAACTGTGGCGGAGGGGGGGAAGGGAGGTGCTTAGGGACCCAGGAACCGCCGG